CTAGGAGCTTTGTGTTGGTACAAAATGTTTTCTCCACATTTTCTGATGATATATCAAAGAATTATTTATAATTGTAATACTTTCTAATAAAAACATGATTTTTTAGTAATAGATTTAAGCTAAACTATATTATGACAACCATTCACGATATTGCGACCTTTGGTCTATATTGTTGGGACATTTCGAGTGATGAATTTTCTTCATCATTCAAAAATGATATATTCTCTGATAGAAAGCTTTACAAAATCGTTCTGTATCTTGTTAAGCCCCAGCTGAATCTGTTCAATTGTTCAGGCAGTTCAAAGTTTTCCAATTAAATCACTATTCTTCGATTTGAAAGACGTGCTTAAAATGCCCGCATGTGAGTACACAACTAATCCAGATTCCACTCTTGTATACCGTCTATTGTATGTGTAATATGTAAGGGCTGATTGAATTTCTTTATGCATTTAAGAGAAAAATATATATATAAATTTCATGACTAAGTGCAAGTGATGCATGTATATGCTTAATACTGTTCATTCAATTACTGTAATAATTGTAACTACAATTTGGAAATCCATTGTAACCCTAGCGTGGGGTACTCGTGTTTGTGTCGTGCGTTGAAAGTAAAACAATTCTATATTATCGCGAAAGAAGCTTTGTGGATTAAATTGAGCTCAAACACGATTATCAAAGTAGCTATTGACCTACTTAAAGGGATGCTAAAAAATATGCTCTCACGTGACTTGATACGTAACGACAGTATTCTGTAACCCTTGTGTCCATGGCTAGCATCACGCAGCTATTCATAACAAATAATTTCAGATTTCTTTCAACATGACCACACTAAAAGTATTTCGTTGCGGGTAATATAATTGTTATATATTTATATTTTTTTATCTAACATTTTTTTTATTACTTTTCCAGTTTTCATAAATACAAAAAATGAATTCTAATACTAGAATAAATAGAAATAATCAGCAATTTAACACCACAATGCAAACAACGTAACTTTACTATCATCAACCAAGTACATATTCTAATAACCTCATATATTACGCAATTATACAATAAAGCTCGTTTGTGCATTCACCACATAATTAAGAACTTATAAATGAATAATTAGACATCTCAGTCTGTCTATTTTCTGGACTAACATTTCAATTAATGAACTGATAATGGCAAGACAAAAAATAAAACAAAAACAACAAAACGCATCACTTGATCATAAATAAAATAGAATACACAATTCAATTAAACTGAAAGTTTCATCCATTATGGACTTTGATTCTGTCCTAACCTCTGAATGTTTCATCCATTGTGAATTTCGACCCTGTCTCAGCGATACATACATTCATTTTACATTGGTAGAGGTATTGCTTTCCAAGGAGTAAAAGTCAGTGTTACAAATAACTTCAAGAATTCTGAATAAATCATTATACCTCGCCCGAAAATACTTTAATTGTATACAATATTAAATTCAATGATGTATAATTTCAATTTCAACATGACAAATTGAACACATTAACTTTCTGAGATAAAGATATATACGATAAAGATAGATATCTTAAATTCTTTTTTAAAACATCCAGAGCTTGTTGACATAAAAGTTTCAGAGTGCACAACAATTTTTAATGGACCTTCTTGTTCTAAATTTTGTAATATCGATTTTGTTATTCGTACGTAATGGAAACATATTATGTGGTGACAATTCCGGTCCTTCCTAAAGATGGACAAAAGTGTTTAACCCACCAACTCTATTAAATATATAATTTATAGAACTTTTTATCTAATATGTCTCGAGAAAAAAAAACAATTTCCCCTCTATAGTAATGTTTCTTTTGTTCCATGTCATATATATTTCAGTGCATAATTATTAATATTAATAAGATTCTTACAATAAATGCAGACATGTAATGCCTTCAGTTTCTCATAGAAATCGCCAAGACGTTCAGGCAACAGCTAAAACCTAATTGTTATATTATATTATATTACACAGACATGAATGTTTCCTAAATATCATCATTTGTTCTATTATGTAATGAATTTGAATGGCACTTGTAACGTATCATTAAATATATATGGTTTCCATGGCAACTGTAGCCAAATTACAATACGATAACATTTTCCTAGACACGAAATACTGCTCAATTTGTCACGAACTGAACTGCGTTTGAATGGTCGCAATGAATACAATACTAATAGGATTGACCTCTGCAGTTATTGACCCAATTACTTAGCCTCACGTGTTACCAAAATATCTGCATGCAATGAAAATGCAATCACCCTAAACCTTGTCCATACTTTGCCAATGACTTCCCACCGACTTAATATGTTATTTAATAATCGTTAGAAGTTTCAATGCACGCAGGGAATATATTGGCTTGCAATAAATCGTGATCGAATCTGTGCATTTTACTCTACTCATAATTCGTACTACGTATCGGTAATTTACAACGCATGCGCAGTTCATTATTTCTTCAAATGTGGTGTGAATTGAACATTTTCAGCTTACGACAATTTGTTCAAATGTGTTACATATTAACATAATAGATTACTTAAAGCGGCGGAGTCGTCACCTACGCATGCGTCAGATGGCCATAGTGTGTCATTGTTTAGCGTCTACCCATGAGCCTTTGCGTTCTTAGCGTGTGTTGTTATCATGGCTTGGGACTCAATTCCCGCGCGTGCACAGGTGACGACCCTCCCGCTTTAATCACGGG